TCCTTCCTTCCTTCCTTCCTTCCTTCCTTCCTTCCTTCCTTCCTTCCTTCCTTCCTTCCTTATCTTTTTTCAGGCTTCTAACAAATATTTGTACGTCAGGGCCATGCTACCCATTCTCATCCCAGCCCCGGAAGCCATGTTCCCAGGGTTGTTCAGGGAGCTCAGCCCTGCTGGGATCAACTCCAGATCCCCACCCTGCTCTCCGGGCCTTCTGGACCTTCTCCACTTAGCACAGGAATCCTGGAGGGAAGCCCAGGCCAATTGTGATTGCTGTTCCTGAGGGGGAGGAAGGTGAGGCTCATAGGCCTTATTTTGTCCAGGACCCTCCTGGGAACCGCACCCAGGAGACCAGGCCTCCATTGGTGGCTGGAGATAGGGCAGAACTAAAAGGGTGTTTGGCTTGATTTCCTGGCTTAGGAAAACTGGTTTCCATCTGTGATCCCTGCTGACCCCCCTCCCCACGGTCCTGTAGAACCTCCTGAGCAAACTACCAGCCTCTGCTGGCAGATGTGACCAAGTCCCTGAGGTCAGAAGGTACCATGACTATTCTTGTTAAATGGAACTCCTATTAATTAAGCCAATAAAGGGATATAGGGTCTAGCTTAGAATCCTAGGATGTCAGACCTGGGGATGGTCTAGGCCTTTGAGTTTACCACCTCATATTACAGAGGAGGGCTATGAGGCCCAGGGGATCAGGGGAGATGCCCACGGGCACAGCTTGCAGGAGCCACCAACAATCCACAAACAGCTACGCTCCGAGTGCCTGCTCCACGCCGATGGCTGTCCTGGGATCATGCCCATCTCCTGCCTGCCAGGCCGGGGTGCCTTTCATTTCAGTTTTCTTTGTGCTCCATTTGTTTTGTGAAAAAAAAAAAACTAACCCACAGCCTCCCTCCCACCAGCCAGCTGTTCACAGTGTGCACAGGTGGCCACAAGGAAGGTAGAGACGCTTGCAGGTAACTCATTAGAAATCAGCCCCGGGCCTGGGAGGGGAGGCCTTTTGGCCAGTGGTGACTCACCCTTGCAGGGGAATAAGAAAACTGAACGTGTACTGAGGCCCATGCGAGTCTGGGCACTGGGCGAGGTCCTGGGCCTACTTACTCCACTATCTCACTCTGTTCCCTTCCTTCACACTGTGAACGTTATGAGCCCCTAACACACCACAGAGGAGGTAGCCAGGCTATGGGGCAATGTCTTCTTGGCTGAACCCTATAACTTTGGTCACAATGACAGATATTCCACCAAGCCTCAGCTTCCCGTCTGTAAAATGAGAATCATACAGCCTACCTTGATGGTCACAATATATGCAAAAGCCCCTCATCACCGCAGGTGTTTCAGAATGGGCAATGCCAAGAAAATTCATGGAACCCTCTGAAACACGTCTGTCTTAGAAAAACTAATTTTCCTGTGTGTCTCCTTCACTTTCACACTCCACACAACACTTCTGACCCCAGATGTGAAGGGAGCGCCCCCACGCCAAGCAATTCTCTGTGACACCTGCTGGTGTCCTATAATTTAACTCAATTCTAAGCCTACCTATTTGATAGTGTCAAACCCCACAGGTTAAGGGCTCAGTCCCACAGGACTGCTCCTCCCCCATTTCAGATGCCAATCGCAAGTATTAGGTCCCCAGGTTATCCACAACTTCTGTCCGACTTGGCTCCAAATCAGGGGTTTCCATCACCCCTTCCTCGGTTTTGATTAATTTGCTAGAGTGGCTCACAGAACTCAGGGAAACATATTTACCAGTTTATTAAAGGACACGATAAGGAATACACATGAACAGCCAGATGAAGAGATACATGGGGTAGGGCCTGGTAGTTTCCGGAGCTCAGGAGGTCCTGCCCCCGTGGAGTTGGGTGCATCAGCCTCCCAGTGTGGATGTGTTTGCCCACCTGTAAGCTCTCTGAACACCACACTATTGGGATTTTATAGAGTCTTTCTCACATAGGCCCGATCGATGATTAACTACATCTCCAGCCCCTCTCTCCTTTCTGGAGGATGGGGTTAGAGCTGAAAAATCCCAAGCTTGTAATCATGGCTTGGTCTTTCTGGTAACCAGCCCCATCCAGGAGCCCACTCAGAGTCACTTTGTTGGAACAAAAGATGCTCCTAGTGTTTTCACCACTTAGGAAAGTACGCGGGTTTTAGGAGCTCTGTGCCAGGAACTGGGGACAGGGCCAATATGTACTTTTTCTATTAACTCACAATGTCAAATGATGGTCCTCAGCAAAATGTCCAAGCATAAGCCTGGGAGCCCACCCATCACCTAATCAGCTTGATAGAGCCTCAGGCCCAGCCGCCTGCTGAGCCAGACTCCATGTTTCATCATGATCCTCAGGTGATCTGTACACACGGCAGAGTTTGAGAAGCTTTGCTCCAGAGCAGGCCAACAAACTTTTTCTATAAAGGGTCCAAGAGTCAATATTCGAGGCTTTGCAGATGTGTCGTCTCTGTTGCAACTACTCAACCGTGCTGTTGTGGCTGGAAAGCAAAAGCAGCAGCGATCCCTGCATAAAGGAGGGAGCGTGACTGTGTTCAGATAAACCTTAATCCAAAAGCAGGTGGAGGCAGGGGTGGCCCCCAGCTGTGGCTGCAGAGCCGGGTCTCAGAGGGGACTGGGCCTGAGCAGGAAGGACTCCGAGCCTCTGCCCCATGTCAGCTAGGCGGCAACCCCTTTGTCTGCTTTACTTGTCAGCTCTTACTCCAAGGTCGCTCTGAGGGCTCGCTGCAGGCGGTGGCGGTGTGGTCTGGGAGGCCAGGCCCTGCGCTGTGCCTGAGGCTTGCTTTTCTCCAGACAGGACGAAGGGGAAGGACCCCTTGAAGCACATGGAGGTGCTCTGCTCCATCACCTCCCGCTCCCTCCTCTCCCCGAGCTATTACCACAGCTTCGGGGTCACCAAGAACTACGTCGTCTTTCTCGAGCAGCCCTTCAAGCTGGATATTCTCAAGATGTCGACTGCATACATCCGGGGAGTGAGCTGGGCTTCTTGCCTGGCTTTCCACGGGGAGGAGAAGGTAAGCCCTGGCTGGGACTTCCAGCCCGGGGGTCTGAGGACCCACAATGCGAGGACAGCCAGAGCGAGGTGTCCCCAGAAGCAGACGTGGAGATGGAGGCCAGCATGGAGGCGGTTTCTTAGGAAAGAAGGAAGCAAACTACCGTACAGTCTCCCCCAGAGGCATCAGCCAGCCTTCCAGAGAGTTCTGAAGTTGGGCCCTCAGAGTGGCCCTGAGTTAGGATAAGGGTGCCAGGCCTTTATGACCACACATGACAAGTCAGTAGAGAAGACCATCCTGAAAGGGTGTGTGACCTTGGACAAGGTAGCCTTGTCAACCAAGACACTCACCCAGCAGTGGTCCCCACTAATCTCAGTCCTAGCCAATGGCTGGGCTCCTCCAGCCTCCCTTGTCCGTTGACAAGCCCTCCATGCAGCCACTGTGTAATGTGGGGAAGGGGGGCCATAGATTATTCAGACATCAGAATGACAGTGTTCCACCAGACGGCATGACAGAAATCCCCACTGTAAATCCCCACTTACCTCGTCCCAGCCACTGGCTCCCTGCTCACTCCACCTCCTCCTGTATCTCAAACCAGCCAAATACATCCCTGCCTCAGCGCCTTCAAGTTCAAATTTTCTGTCCCCTGGAATGCTCTTCCCGGTGTGGTTCCCTACCGCAATTACTCTGGGTCTCAGCTCCGGCCCCCTGACCTTGAGGCCTCCCTTGATGAACTTGTCTATCGCAGAGCCTTCCCCAGGCTTCCTTCAGCCCCTGCTCTGCCTCATTTTTCTCAGTAGAGCTCATCACCCTTGACACGTGATATGTTTGATCACTGGCTGTTGGCCTCACACCCACTGGATATAAATTCCAGGGAAGCAGGGGCTTGGTTTTCTTTTGTCTCTCTAGGTCCTGAAAAACTGTCTGACATGTCATAGACCCTCTATAAATATTTGTGGAACGAATGAGTGGGGCAAGGGGGCAGCAGGGAAGCCAGTTAAACTCCCCAAACACTTCTTGGGAATGGCACACTTAGACCACATTGTGTACTCTCTAAGGTGAACCGTAGGTGATCTCTTGTTTGCATTCCGTTGTTCTGCTCCCCCAGTCTCTGACTTTCTCCCATGACGTCAGTGAAAAAGGGGCTGAGCTTTTTGTCAACCTGTCTGCAGCATTTTCCATTTATGTGTTTGTTCACTCTCTTAAAATGCAAATAAAGACTGCTTCCTTAGAGGGTGCTCATGTAAAAAAAAAATTAAAAATCCCCAAACACACTGGGGAGCATACCACTGGCAGGAGCTGCAGGGCCTTCTGGGCCTCCACCCTGAGGCCCCTGGGGATTCCTTGGCTCTGGAGGACAGGGCTTAGAGCCCTGGGAAGGGCTTTGGAGTGCATTTTGAAGAGAACCTTGTGAAAGTCCCTGTGGCTGACCCAGGGATTGGGACCCTGGGGAAGAAAATGCCTAAAATAATGACCCCTGTACTCACCTCCCAAACTGACCCCCACCACCATGCTATCACAGCTTTCCTCCTCTGCAGCCTGCCCAACATTTAAAGCTTGATCCCGGGGAAGCTGGAGAAAGAAGCAAATGAGCAGGGAGGAGTGGTCCCTCCCTCCCTCCCTTTCAGAAGGCGGGTGGCTGGGCCAGGGCTGCCAAAAGATAGGAACACCCCCTCCCTTTGGATTAGGCAACGGGCTACAGATATGGCTCATTACCACCCAGAGTGGTACCACCTCGTGACACCCAGAGTGTGTGCAGCGGCCTCATGAGCTGATACCCACGTGGGCTCCTTAACTAGAACCAGGTCACTCAGCCCTCCAGGACAGGGGCGTTGCTGTGACAACCACATCCTGGTAGCAGGCTCTGCCGTGGAGATGGGAGAGGGGACCCAAAAGGGAAGGTGTGGTTTTAGAGTTTTAGGGGCTCTGACAGTGGATGAAGCCTGGTGAGGCCTAGATGTCTGGCACCTGCCCACTTGTCTCCAACTTGGCCATTTCCAGGGAGCTGGCATGTTGCTGCTCACCTGGAATCACAACCAAGTGATGTAGGGAAAACAGTGCACTCTCTGGGGCTTCCTCCATACATTGTCCTCCTGGTGATGCAGAGGCCCTGGCCCACAAACTTCCCTCTCCTCCATGGGAAAGAGGTGATCATGGACACACAACAACTGACAGCCCCCATGTACTCAGTGCTTCTGCGTGGCTGGCACTCTGGAGGCAGGACACAGAGAGTCAGAAGGGGGAAGGGAACTCATGAGCCAGTACACGGCAGGGCCGGCTCTTGCCCCATACCTGATGCCACAGCGCTGGGCCAGCAGAGGGAGGGCTGACCACTGGATGTGCCTCTTCTTTCAGACTTATATTCACATTGTCGACCAAAGGACTGGGAAGCCCATGTCCGTCAGGTTTTACACAGACCCTATGGTGGTCTTTCATCACGTGAACGCCTACGAAGAGGATGGCTGCCTTGTCTTTGACGTCATCGCCTACGAGGACAGCAGCCTCTACCAGTCTTTCCACTTGGCCAGCCTGACCCAAGACTCTAAAGAGAACTGTGGAGCCAACTCTACCCCCACCCTCAAGAGGTTCGCTGTGCCCCTCTGCATGGACAAGGTAATGGCTTGAAGGAAGGAAGGACTGTTTTATTCCTGGGGAGACATGAGCCCAGGTAGGCAGTTGCTTTGGCCCTGAGTTGATTGACATTGAAATCCAAAATGAGCTGTTCTTAAAGAAATACAGAAAATGTTTTCATTATTTTCCCCAAAGTAGTAAATAGTCATAGTAGAAACTTTAGAAAATATAGATTAAGTAAAAAGGAAAGAAACCCCCCATAAACCCATTGTGGATATATTTGTATTGCCCCCCCAAGTCTCTTCACTCTCCATAGATAGCTAGATAGACAGACATACACATGCACATAATTGACATAATGTATACAGTATATTTATATTATATATATACACATATTGATATATATCTCAATAAAGCAGTTAAAATTATGTATAGTGCGATTTAATTTTAGAAAAGGAAATCACACTGTACATAATTTTAACCACCTTATTGTGATATTATTCACATGCCATATAATTCACCCATTTTCACTCATTTAAACTGTAGGATTCAATCACTTTTAGTACATTCAGAGTTGCACAATGATCACCACAATTAATTTTAAAACATTTTTATTACCCCCAAAAGAAACCCCATACCCCTTAATCATCGCCCCCCGACCCCTCCATCCGCCTACCCTAGACAATCACTGTTCTACTTCCTGTCTCTGAGGATGCGCCTTCTTGGGCATTTCATCGAAACGGATTATACGGCAGGCGGCTTTCTGTGACTGGCTTCTTTCACTCAGCACCACGTTTTCAAGGTTCGTCCTTGTTGCAGCATGTGTCAGTACTTCATTCCCTTCCATGGCTGAGTGTGTACATACTCTTTTGTGTACTGCTATTTGTCTATCTAAACATCTTTCCATGGCATTAAATGTTCTTCCACAACATCATTTAGATATTTTCCTGACAGCCCATGGCAGGGATTCAACACCATTTGCTTACCCAGTGCCCTGCTGTTGAATAGTCCTGTTCTTGCATTAAAAATGATCACTAGATCAGACATTATCCTCAATTAGGGTGATGTTGCCAAGGCTCTGGACTTGGTTTTGGAGGCTCCAGAGGCTTCTGGCTCCAGAACTCACTGACTTCATGACTTAATTAATTTAAATGAAACCAAATTCATTCCAATTCAAGTTTGATGGCTCATATTTACTAAATGCACTCTAGATGCCAGGTACTTTGCTAAGCATTTTATTTTTCTTGCCTCACTTAATGATCCAAACAACTTGTGGGAGAGGTCCTTATATTAGACTCATTTTACAGATGAAGAAACTGAGGCTCAGAGAGGTTAAAGAATGTGCCCAAAGTCACACAGCCCACAAGAGCAAAGCCAAGATTGTCATCTGCACCAGCCTGTCTCTAAACCCATCCTTATGGCTGGTAAGGGGTATAGGTGCTGTTCTCCCCAGCAGACCTAACTCCTAGAAAGAAGCCCAGATGGGTCACACTGAATGCTTCTAAGGGCTCTGCAGGCCTGAGGAGTAGGGGACACTCCCACCCTCATTGCCAGGCTTCTCAGTGCCGGGGTTCAGATATCTCCCAGCCAGTGAGCATGGCCTGAATTTAAACACCAAGTGTGTTTGTTGTTCCTGTCTCTCCAGCATTTGCCCATCTAAAGTCATCTGTGCATCTCTGTCGTGATTTTTAACACATTTCCCATTACCTCTATTTAACATTTACAAAGTCACATTTTTGTAAATCAACTCACTGTTGAAAGAAAACCTGTCACTACCCAATGGAAAGCCAGCCTTGTTTGCTGCAAATAGCAGGCAAGCATGAGCATTAAAAAAATGTTAATAAAGCAGCGGTCTTCGGCTCTCGCCAGATACTGTTGCTTGCCAAGGCTTAATCTCTTAAGAAAGCTCTAAAATGGATTTGCTGTTAAAGATATAGTGGCACCTAACCGAGACTTGCTCCTTGACCTCGTCAGCAAGCGCTGAAGAGAAAAGGGCTTCACTGTCTCCCCAGGCAATTCACAGCTATTGAATGAATGGCCGTGTCCCACATAATCATCACATGAGCCACTGTCCTCTGTGTCCCTCGCTCTGGGCAGTGCCTCAGTGCAGGGCCTTGGACTGCACCTCCTGGTTCCAGGAAGCAATGGGGGTGTCACAAAACCCACAGGTGGCAAACCCCAAGGCCCAGCCCCCACCTCATGTCTACCTCAGTCTGGGGATGATACACAGAGAGGAAAGAGTCCTTCCCACTGCCCACACACCACAGTATTTTATAGCCTTTTATCACGCTGGAAAATGATTTGCTTCCTTGGAACCAAGCTAAGAAGTTTAGCATGTGTATTTTTAAAAGGCGCCATGTGAGCCATCTGCTGCTTTGAAACTCGCAAAGAAGGGTGAGCCCTGGGAAGGGTAGCTCTGGCCACGCTTTCTAATTGCTATTTATTGTCCCTTAAAAATGTCTTCTTGCTTCACTTTCAAGCCGCCCCGCCTGCATATTGAAATCAGAATGTCAAGCAGGAGGACATGGCCTCTATGCCCAGATCTGGCGGCTCTAATTTCACCCCATCCAAAGGCTTGTTAGGGAAGCACTGCAGGAGGTACCATTCTTTCTCGAATGCCCTTCAGTCTGGGGCCTTTGCACACCCCTGTCCCTCTGCCTGCAACTGTATTGTCTTCCCATCAGACCTGCACTCCAGTCCTGGGTGCAGGCCGGGCTTACCTGGGGGCTCTGAGACCACATCAGCTCCTGCGGGGCCTCAGCCCGGAGCAGTGAAGGCAGAACTGCCTGGGCTGGGCCCAGTGTGAGCATGGTCTCATAGCCCCCAGTGGATTCTAATTTGCATCCAGGTAGCAAATTCCTGGTTATCCTGCAGGTCTCAGGGTCCTTACTCCCCTCGGATGAGTTTGTACACTCTAATTGCACCTGCAGCTCTTTGCCCAACATTTATCTCAAGTATAATCAACTTGTTCAGTCACTTCTTCCTGTCACCTCTGAGAAGGCTGAGACTCTGTTTTGTCAGCAGTTTATCCCCTGCGCCCATCACAGCACCTGACTCTCAGAGGGTTCTCCTTAAGCTCTTAAATATTTTGAATGAATGAGTGAATGATGAATGAATGAAAAACATGAAGCAAGGTCTCCAAAAGGGCACAGGGCCTTCCTTTAGCATTTGCAACATTTCCCAAGTGGAAAGTGCTTTCCATGTAGAACGGGCAATGGTGACATATATTCAGAAGCCTGGGACCTCCCAGCTGCCCCAGATTCTCTTGTGTTCGGGCCAGCTGGGGTCAAAAGAAGGAGAGGCCTGTTTATGTAGGGTGGCGTGGGGATTGGGGAAGGCAGGGCTGGGCCGGGAGGGGCGTGGGCATGTGCAGACAGTCCCTGTAGGTGCCCTGCCCTTGTCCTGCAGGTGGGTTCATAGCACTGACTTCCCTCCTGACAGCCGTCCACACTCAGGGGCCATGATGGGCAGGGGCTGGGAGAAGGGTAGGTATCATGGACCTAGAAGGAGTGGCTCAGTAGATTTGGTTTTTGTCTTTTCTCCAAATGTGACAACCGCCCAATATTATAAGAGCAGCCACCACGAGAGCTCACTATGTGCCAGGCCCTGTGTTAAAATGCCTTTTCTGCTCTTAGACCTCAGCAAGAGTGGCCCTGGATCTGGCCTTTCTCCAGCAATGCCCCTTCTCCCCAGGGTGAGGGGTTCAAAGGGCTGTGGGGTTAAGCCCACCCAGAGGGACGCCCTCTCCACCCAACCATGAACTGGCTACCTGGGATTGCCGAATTTCCTGCCCAAATAGCCCAAGCCTGCATGCAGCACCTGCTCCTGTCCTCCTCAGGGCCCACGAGGTGGCCAGGGCTGGCTGTTAGCTTAGTTGTGCTGACCGGGGCATCCATGCTGTGGGAAGAAGGGGCAGGGGCAGAGAGCCCAGGCCTGGAGGCTGGCCCTCTTTCTGCTCCCCTATTCCAGCTCTGAACACCAAGGGGTCCTAGGATTCTAAAGTCACACTCATCCTTCCAGACCAGCGCTATGCGACAGAACCTGCTGTGCTGAAGGCACATTCTCTGTCTGTTCACCCAGCACAGTAGCCACTAGCCACATGTGCTTGCAATGTGGCCACTGCAACCGCGAAACTGAATTTTAAGTTTAAATGTAAAGAGCCACCTGTGGCTGGTGGTTGCCGTATTGGACAGCACCATTCCACAACATTATGAAGGTCTGTGTGCCACTTCTGTAGGGGAGAGAAGTCTTTTACTTAACCATTTGATATGTTTAGACCTAGGTTTGGTCAGCCCCACTCTCATCCTGGGTCCTGCAGTTTTAGGGGCAGTTGCATTCTTCTCACCTCTTCTCTAGGACAGCCCTCCGAGCAATTCATTATCCTATGACTACAGTGAGAGACAAAGTCACCTGCCCAAAATCGCAGAATTATCAGTGGGACTTGAGTTGGGATTTGAATGAGTGTCTGCCTGGCTCCCAGTTACTAATTATGATGGGTCTGGCCCTGGATCAGGTGTTTCCGTAACCACTATTTAACTTAATCCTAACCATTATCCTCAGACGCAGGTCACAGGAACCTCACTTACGCTCACCACCCCTCCAAAAGTTACAAATTGCACTCCTCTTTTACACACGAGGAAGCCAGCTCAGGGAGGCTGAGCAAGTTCACAGAGAAAGCTGTGGAGTCCAATTTCACACCCAGGGCTGCTGAACTCCAAAGCCAGTGTTTCGGGGAATGACTGAGATTACTGCTGCTCCCCTCGAATTTAAGGATTTCAGAGTAAGCCCACAGAATGTTGAATTCTAGCTGGAAAGCGATTTCTTCCCAAAGCCAAGCATGTTGGCCACCGAAAGCAGCCGAGTCATGTTCATTACTGCTGTGTGTGGAAAATTTCAGTTTATCCCTCAACCAGTCTGACCAGTTTCAGGCTGGAGTTATAAGTCTGCTCTACAGATTGACTCCCAAGAATCAAGCCCAGGACATGCACAAGAGGCCTACTGCTGTCATGTGACTAGCAAGTCACCAGGAGGGGCCTCCCACCAGTTTGTGGTGCTACGCAGGTGGAGACATTCAGAGCTTTTGTTTATAAGAAACCACAGATGTGCTGGGTGCTAAGTGACTTTTTAATGCACTTCATCTCATTTCATTCGACAAAGCACGTTTTGCCCCTTGACAGTTAAAGAGAAAGCTTACTGAGTCATGCATTCACTCATTTATTCAGCAGTTACTCCCTGGGAGCTATGTGCCCTGCACTGAAGATCTGGTCCCTGTCTTCATAGGGAAAGAGCATAAAAGAAGGAAGTAGCTCCATAGAGGAGATAATTACAGGTTGGGACACATACCTCCGAGACACTGCAGATTGAGTTGTTAGGGAAGGAGATGTCTGAGTTGAGACCTGCAGGATGGGAACGGGCCAGCCCCTGGGCCTTTGCACCTGCTTTGTCCTCTGCCTGCAATGCTCTTGCTTCTGAGTCAAAGAATCACCATGTGAAGGTCTGGGCCCAGACTCTGCTTCTCTCTGTGTGACCTTGGACAAGCCACTTTCCTTTTCTGGGCCTCAATTTTATCTTCTGTAAATTGAGGGATTGAACTAAAAAAATCTTGAAGGGTCCCTGTAGGTCAATAGCTCGGATGCAGTACATTTTCTCTCCTTCCCAGCAAAAAGAAGCTATTGTTCAAATAGATTTGTTTTCCTTATAAAAGCCCATTAGGGAAAATTTGGAAAGCAGAGGGAAGTTCAGATGAAAAGTCAACCATAACAATAATTCTCCCCATAAACTCTGTGAAGGCAGGGACTTGTGGCCTTGTTTCTCAGTCTCTCCCAGTGCTAGTGGCAGTCATATCGTAGTAGCAGCAGCAGCAGGAGGGAGAGCAATCGTAGTAACAATACGACAATGATATCACCAACAGCAGCTAGTTATCTAGCACTTTCTGCTAACCAGGCCCTCTTTAAATTATTTGCATGGATTATTTTATTTAATCTGCACAATAATTCAGAGACACATATACCATTCCTACAATGCATATACTATACCTCGTTATACAGATGAAAACACTGAATTTCAGAGATGTTAAGTAACTTACTCAAGGTCCCATACCTCATATACACAGAAACAGGACGTGGTAGATGCTGAATAAACATTCAGTCGTGTTAAATCCCTCTCCTGGGTTACAGTGATGGCAGTAAGGTACCGAGCAGAGCGAAGTCTGATTGTAACTTGAGTCCAAGGGATATTCTTGATACTTTTCTCCCAAGTAATTTTTATTGCATGTTTATTTTCAGCAGTGACACATTTTCCCAAGGAGAAAATACTGAAGATACAGATAAGCATAGAGAAAAAGAGAAGAAATGAAGGTCCCCATAAGGCTACCGGCTGCTATATTGTTAATATTTGGTATATTTCTCCCAGGCTCTTTTCAATGTAATTATTTTACCTGGTTGAGCTCAGACTGCGTACGCAATTTACTCTGCTGCTTTTTCCACTCGGTGTTCTATCATGAGCATTTCCCATGTTATTATGAACTCTTTATAAACATTCTTTTAATGACTGATGCAGCCTTTTACAGGTGAATCATCCAGTATTTAAAAAGTACGTTAATTTCATCTGTGAGGGATATGGTAGCCCATTAGTAGGAAAAAAAGAGCCATAGTTTTAGGGGCCCCTGCCCTACTGCCTACCAGCTGTGCAGTCTTGGGTGAGTCACTTCTAATTGCCAATCCTCATTTTTAACTGAAAATACCAATAATGTAATAGCTACTTCCTGTGAGTATTGTGAGGTCACAGCAAGATGACATACGCAGAAGCATTTTTTTAAATGTACACAGTAAAACATGTTTTCTCTGGGTAATGCGTTTTCATTTTTCTGGAAAACTGATTCTTTCAGAATGCAGAAGTGGGCTCAAATTTAATCAAAGTGGCATCTACAACAGCAAGAGCCCTGAAGGAAAAAGATGACCAAGTCTACTGCCAGCCAGAGTTGTTATGTGAAGGTAAAATATATCCCCTACCCCTGTGTTTAGGGAAGGGCAGAACTTCATGAAGATCCCAGGCCTCTTTATGTAATACTTCCTTCTGATTCAGAGATGCTACGTATGGACAAGGGACAAGGAGGAAGGCTCTTTGGGATGCCCCAAAGAAAAGCGTTGGGGGACAGGTGTTTTTCATGTCTTCAGACCCCTCGCAGGAAGGTACTGGGTGGTCACTGGACCCGGTGACTTTCACGGCTGTCCTCTGCAAACGCTGTGAAGTAGTGAACGCTGACTTACAGGCACAGCACATTTGGGCCTCTACCTGTACACGTTCATGACACCCTGCAGAATAGGTGCTGTCAGCCCCACGTCGCAGAGGAGGTAACCAGGCCGCGGGAAGGTTGAGCTACATACACAGTGTAAACCCCTTGAATAGAATTCACACCCACTAGAACAGGGCTCCTCAACCTGGAACTACTGATCCCCGGGGCCGGCCATTCCTTGTGGTGCGGTCCATCCTGGAAATTGTAAGATGTTGAGCCACATCCCAAGCCTCACCTACCAGATGCTAGTAGCACCCCCACCCTGAACTGGAACAAACAGCAACACGTCTGGACATTGCCAGTGTCCCTTGGGGGGCACCATCGCCCTGATTGAGAACCACTGCCCTAGAATATAATAAGTCCATGGGGCGGGGACCATGTTTTTGTGCTCAATGTTATCACCAACATGTGACCAAAGTCTGGCTTAGCCGGGTCTGAGCTCAGCACTTAAGATCGTAGTGAACAGGCTTGCCCAGGGTACTCCAAGAGTGGCAGGGTGTGGCTCTAAGTTCAAACCTTGCTCTCTGCATTGGCTGCCCCATGCCAGGTTCAGGCATCTGGAAGGGTTCCATCCTGGGGACTCTCTTAGGATGACCTCAGATTTGCTCACTAAGAACCGTTTCTGTAAACAGTGCCCCATGGATCCAATAACCAGTTCTGTGCAGCACCCCAGACTCTTGGAGTCTTTAAAAGTGAAAATACAGATCTTGTTTCTAATTCTTAAGGCATCAACTTGAATTTCCTCTCACCCGCCACGTGGTATGGGCAGATGGAGGCTTAAAACATCACAGTTTTTTTGTTTCTCAGAAGAGAATTACTGTTTATTGTTGCAATCTTGGGCGCTACTGAAAAGTATGACAATAGATAAATCCCTCATAATCCCTCCACCCATGACAAACCCTTGGAAATATCAATCCAGACTTTTTGATTGTGTATGGATTGCTTGGCAGATGCCAGGCCCTCTTCTGGGAGCTGTTCAGAGGTCCTTTTCTTTCTTCCTGGCACCATCACCCTGTTGTTATTCACATTCGATGAGCTCACGCATGAGGGGCTGAGCTCAGGGCCTGGCCCGTAGTGCGGGTCCAGCGAAAGGGAGCCATGGTTATTAGAACAACCCCAGCGGGCAGGTGTTGGCACATACTCTCTATTTAGAACCGAGGGCAGCGAAGCTGAGGATGGTGTGATAACCTGCCTAAGGACAGGCAGCAAAGCCAGGATCTGCACCCAGTCTTCTCTGACTCAAAACCCCTTAACCTCTGCATTTATACTTTTACGAATGTGTACCATACCATGTAGAATGTTCTGAAATGGCTTCTTCCACCTAATGAATGTAGCCTGAGAATTTTCCCACATCTGAAGATTCTTCAAGAATGTGGCTTTAATAGCCATGCAGAATTTGCTGGGATGAATCATACTTTACGTAACCAAGTACCTATGGTTGGCCATTTACGGTGTGGGGGAAGGGAGTCCCAGACCAGTTTGAGGGCCCAAGAGCACCATGGGAAGTCTCAGGCCTACGTTAGGACTGACTATGGGCATCTTTTTCTGATTTAAGTGTGTGACTAGTCCCTCCTCCTCGAGTTCATCATGACCTGTCTCTTGGAAGTTTCAGGATTACTCACCTGTGAGATTAGACATCTTCCCATCTCAATAATCCATTCTCCTTCGCTCCTCACTGCGCCTGATAACCATTTATGTCTTGGGTCCCTCTCAGGAGGCCTTTATGTGGCAGATGTGTCCATCCCTGCTTCCTTGTTTCTTGGACATTATATTTTCACCAGCAGTTGGCTCCAGCTACCTGGGATATTTCATAAGAGGGGGACTTCCATCTTGGTATTCAGACTCAGAAATTTAATTTGACACAACAGGCATATATAAATATATGTGCATTTACATGGACAACATTTTAAGGTTTTTTGGATTACAAAAGTAGTAAGTATAATGAAAATTTCACAAAATGAGAAACTTAGAATGTACAATATGAAAAAAACTATAAGTTATCACCCCAACAGTGGTTCTAAACTTTTTCTCTTCATTTTTAACATAGTGGAGATAATTCTATAATCAGCCCATTACATTTAATCTTATGACATAGATACTTTCCCATGTTATTTAAATTCTTTGTAAATATTATTTTAACATGTTATTATATGAATTCACCATATGTATTTAATTACTCCCCACTGACACTCCTCTCCACAGATTCAGAAGTTTCTTTCCCCCACCCTCCCACGTGTGCGTGCACACACGAGTACTTTTTTTAAAGAGCTTTAAAAAATTGCAGTAGCCTCTGATTTTAATCATGTAATTATTTTTGATTTCTATCTTGGATAATTAAAGATTTTTATGTACTTAAGTACCTTGATTCTGCACCTCCTCATAGAGCCAGCACAAAAATCAAAGGTTCCTTGCCCTGCACTGTGACTACCCTGATCCAGTCCAGGGCCTGAACTGAGTTCAGGGATCCTGGCCTGGGAGCAGTTTTTACGGAAAAGGTGCCCAGCCCCGTACAAGGGGCAGATGCTCCCCGCCCTTGGTGATGGGGGCTTCATCAACTGTGTTGTTCTCCCTAGGCTTAGAACTGCCTCAGATCAATTATGCTCACAATGGGCAACTGTATCGATACATCTTTGCCGTTGGAGTCCAGAGGAATTCCGTCCCAACCAAGGTACTGATCCCTGGGTGATCACCGCCCACAACAGTCCTGTCTGTCCGCAAAGCCGAATTCTCAGGTTCCCAGACTGGGTGGCCTTCATTAGAAAAGGGAGGGCAGGAGGGAGGTCCCCTCAGGGACAGCAGGTAGGTCAGAGAGTGAGGTCAGTTTGGGACAAAATACATTTGAAGCAATGATGAGCCAGGAGAGGGAGCCGTACCTGATGGGCTGAAGCTCAGAAAAGAGGCCATGGCTGGAGTTTGTCCGCCGATTTCTTTATTCCATACATGTTTTTTGAGCACCAGCTACGTGCTGCATGGCGGGAGGCAATGAGAATAAGGAAGTGTACAGGGGACCCCAACCCCTGCCTCACCCTCTCAGGCAGAGAGGGTGCAGCTGAAACTTGGAAGATTTGGTTGTTTTTTTAACCCACTATTTGTGGAACACTTGCTGTATCCCAGGGACTATGCTAAGTGCTGTACTAATACCACTTTTCCTTAATATCTTCGTTTTTAAACAATAAAATGGAAAGTGTTTTTTAAAAAAATGTATAGTGCAGAAAGGTACAAAGTAAGAAAATTAAGTTTTACACACACACACACACACACACACACAAGTCACTCCTCACTAATCCCACACTTTACAGGGAAACAGGCCTCTTGGTGATTAAGAGAAGTCCGGTGACCCGTACTTTTAAAACAGCGAAGGAACTGTACTATACTTTAAATGTTTGCACTGAATACGCTAGTTTATTTAACTATAGAAAAACTGCAAGGTAGTGCCAAACACCAGATTTTTGTTTTGAAAAGAATTCAGTGTGTAGTGTCAGCTATGTGGTGGCAGAAGGACCTTTGCTTCGAGTTGGTGGGGGGAGCTCACTGCTTTCACTTCATGTTATCCTGACCAGAGGTAGATGTCATTTGGGAGTCTACTTTGGAGGGGCTTAACCCCCTTTCCCTGGGGGCCTCGATGCCTTCCTATTCGCAGGGGATAGTCATGCTTTCCCATAAGTCATCCCCATGTTTCTCCTCTTTGGATGTACAGATAGTGAAATATGACATTCTCACAAAGTCGTTCTTAAAATGGAGAGAGGAGCACTGCTGGCCGGCGGAATCCCTGTTTGTGCCCACACCAGGTGCCAAAGACGAAGATGACGGTAAGACACTGGGGAGGGGAAGCCGCCCACCATACTCTGCTTGTGATCACATCCTCAGACAGAGACATCATTTGGGGACAGTGGCCCTGCCCACATGACACAGTTGGCAGAGTCATACTTTGAAACCCAGGTCTGAATGAATCCAAAGCTGCAGGTTAGGGAATCCTTAAGACCACCTATACCTCTGACATCAGCTGTGAGCTCAGTGGTCCCCAAGACCACCCTTGGTTTCAATAAAGGACTGACAGGACACCCTGGAAACTCTTATACTCAAGGTTATGGTTTATGTCAATGAAAAGAGAAGAGGCGCCTGGGGCAACACCCAGGAGAGTTCTATGAGTGGAGCCACCCCTGAGGGTGCTAAGGAGGGTAACAAGAACCAGAGGTGGGGCTGCCCCACTGAGCCTGCCAGCTGCTTCCCTCAGGTGAGAAGGGAGTGGTTTTCATGCACAGCATGGTGCCAGGCAGGGGTCCCCAAGTCACTGTCATCTCCGAGGTGGGGGATTGTTGGTACCGCCTGCTGCTGAGACTGGGCTGCTTGAGTGTGTCCTGTGCATTCTGTCCATGGGTAGGGAGTGGCATTGTCTTCATCTCACCAAAGGATGAAGTAACTTGCCCAAGGTCACACGCCCAGTGCCTATAGAGACAGGGTTTGAGTCCAAGCTAATCTGAAACCTGGGAGGCCTCGGGAAGAAGCACGAATATTTGCTGCAAGTTTGCATGCATTTTCATTTAACCCTCTCCGTTCCTTGAGAGTGAGTGCTTAGACTATTTCCATTTTACAGAGGGGAAAGCTGAGACTGTCTGTGTGCTGCGTGTGCACAAGATGAATTGGTCTCATTCAAATACCATTTGAGTGTAACTAGTCTGAGTTTAGCCAAGTGACGCATATTAGCCTAAATGCCGCATCAAAACTGATTCTCTATAATCAGAGTTTCTAAATAGTAGGGAAGTAGCCATTCTTCAGTGCATGCAGTAATTTACAAAGTGCTTTTATAAATCACCATGCAAGAGATCCTCTCAACAAGCCTATGAGGGTAGGGACAGTATCCCCACTCTACAGATGAAGAGACTGAGGTTTAGAGAGGTAAAGGGACTGGCCCAGCCAGGGCTGGAAACAGGTCTGCTGACTCCTATTTCCCTGGCCTTTCTCTTCTGTTCACACAGAATATCAAATTCACTTCCCTCCTGTTTTCATAGATACGGACGTTCAAAGAGGACAGGGAGACAGCTGAGACACTTACCCTTCCAGCTGGAGGAGGTTCAGAGCTGCACTTTTACAAAGTGTCTCTTTTTGTTTCCCCAAAGGAATTATCTTATCAGCTATTGTCACTTCTGATCCCCAGAAGTCGCCTTTTTTGCTTATTCTGGATGCCAAAAGTTTTACAGAACTGGCTCGCGCATACGTTGATGTAGACATGCACCTGGATCTCCACGGGTTATTCATCCCGGACGCAGAGTGGGACCCGAGGAAGCAGGCCCCTTCCCAGGGAGGCCAGGCCGGGGCTTCGGACTGCCACGTGACCTCATCGACCGGACAGGCCTGAAGAGCCCGCTGACAGGCTCCCGCAGGACACAGGTGCGGCCCCTCGCTGGGTAGAGAGGAGGGCCTTCGTGTCATTTGGCGCTCGTTCTTTCAGTGTTCGCTTTGAGACAAAGGTGTGGAGACAGAGCTTATCAGTATCTTTCATTTTGTTTTGGCCATAAAAACCTTGTCTGAGAGTTGATCAAATATTTATTGATCAGCTCTAGCACTTCTAAGAAAGTCCCTTTCCTGCGAAGACCATGACCATGGATCAGAAATTATGGTGTTAACGTATTCATCGTTCTTAGAGTGAGCAATCCCTGACATACTAGAGGAGAGACAGATAATCATTTATCATTGCTCCTCCCTCCCTTCCTCCCCGCCTCTCCCTTCCCTCTCTGTTCTTTCCAGTGGACTAGATTGTACGCCTGGGAGTTCTCGCCTTCTCAACCATGCCCTGTTAGTAAATTGTGTGGCCAGGAAGGCATGTGGCTTTGTGTCATTCCATGCAAGGCATGACATAATATAATAAATATAAATAATAAAATATAATACAAATAATAACTTTAAAGTCTGTTCGGACCTTATTTTATTTTTACATGGCTTCTTTCCTCTGAAGTGCTTCTAAGGCAATAAAATACAGTGGCAGAGCTAGAAGGTTGATAGCAAGCTTGATGGCTCATTGTATGACCAAAGGCTCAACAGGTAGGTGTGGGAACCCGCCTTTTACAGGAGGGGGCTAAGGGTCTGGATATTGACCCGACTGGCCATGGTCGAGGGGCTAGAATCCAGGATTGAGTCCCAGGCCAGGGCGGGATTGAGGTGTTCTTGCCTGATGCTGAGAACCAGGGCAGCAGGCCACGCCCGTGCCTGTACACGAAAGAAGGTTCTCCAAGATGAATGTGCTGTCAGGTTAGACCAGGCGTTTGGGGCAGAGGTGGAAGGAGTTTGCTGGTGGGGATGGAGGACACTAGGAGCAAGCCAGGCAGGATCCCATGTGAATGCTGGGAGCCCCATGGACATCTGAGTCTCACCTTTATTATCTAGTGGGTGCTTGGTGCCTGGTTTAGAGAACCAGAGGCAGGCTGGATAGTTCTCAGGTACCTGTGTCATGGGGTCAGGGAGGGCTGGGATTCCACCCTTAGTCTTGCACCTGCCTCCTCCTCAGTCTAGATTTCATTCAGTCACCGGAAAGGATTCAATGACATGTCTCAAGGATGGGAAGGAATTTCAGATGGTAGCGCGTGAATACCCCAGAGGGGGCAGATGGTCTTGGCTTTTGCCCTGCAGCCATGCTGAAGCCATACTTAGCTTCTCCTCAGAGGTAGGCACCATCAGGTCAGGGAAATTTTTTTAATTTAAATTTTTATTGGAATAATTATAGATTCATGTGCAGTTGTAAGATATGATAACAAGAGATCCCACTTGAACTTTATAGTTTCCCCCAATGGGGGAAGTTTTAGTACAATATCACAACCAGGATATTGACGTTGATTCAATCTACAAATATTACTTGGATTTTCCCAGTTGTACGTGTATTTGTGTGTGTGTGTGTGTGTGTGTGTGTGTGTGTGTGCAGTTCTGTACAATTTTATCACATGTGTAAGTTCCTGTATCCACCACCACAGTCAAGACACTGAATAGTACATTGACACAAGGATGTCTCGCGTTGCTTTTCTATCACCACACCTACCTCTGTCCCACCGCCACCTCCCATTCCTCACCCCCAGCAACCATTTCTAAAATGTTATCATTTCAAAACTGCTATACGAATGGAATCGCAGTATCGACCTTTGGGGACTGGCTGTCCTCCCACAGCAGAATTCCTTGGGGAGCCCTCCAGCCTGTTCCGCTGTCAGGTGCGTTTTATCTACTGCTTTACCCTCACACCTAGAACCCTGCCAGTGGGCTCAGGTTCTCAATACACATCCGTTGAATGAACAAGTTCCCTCAACAAACAGATTTGACTCGATCATGTGCCGACGAGAAGTGAATATTTTCCTGAGGATCTCCGGGAAGATGAGGAAGACCGTTCCGCAGAGCCCGACGACAGCACACGCAGTTCCCACACAGGCTGCGCTCACCCACCAGCCCCGATCTCTTCCAGCCGTCCCCCCACTGGTCCCTCAAAACCTCTTCTGTCCTCCCAGAATTTCCTTCTCACCCTTAATAAAAACCCGAGCCCTAACGGTGGCGGAATGAAGACCATCCCCTTCCTCACACTGTCCCTCACAGGCCTCAGCTCCTCCAGCCTCCACAGGGCGGGTCAGGAGGGCAGGTCAACTGCGGTGGCCTAAGAAGTGTGACAGATCCGCATTCAGGCGGCAGGGATGGAAAAGAGTTGTGACAAATGTGACAGTCACTCGCCTACTCACTATTTACTTCAAATATTTGAGAAGAGGGTGGGATGAAAAAATGCTTCCCCACCTGCATTCTCCTCAATTCCAGTTGCCAAACATACCCAGACCTAATCATGAAAAAGGGCGCAGCTCTGCGGGGAAGAAAAATACGTCCGCGGTTTGTTTGCCTTGCTTGAGATGACAGATGAGATACCAGACTGAGGAGGAAGCTTGGCACGACTGATCTTTCTCTCTCAGCTTCAAGAACCACCACAGGCTGATGCCGTGACATCTGATGAATCTTGGCCCTTCTTTCCATCGCGACTCATGCACAGGCCGGCTAACGAGCCCCAAGCGCCACGGGAGCCAGCGCGTGGGCCTTTCTGCAAGGCCACAGGGCGGTCCGCCCCGTCCTCCAGCCTTCCCCCCGTGCTCCGTGTGGGTGGGCTACGTGACCAGGAAGCCCTGCAGGAAAAATCACTCCAGCCTTGCTTATTGCTCTGGTGAAGCCACAGCATTTTGCAAGCGCGCACACTAAGATGCAAGAGGCAGGTACACGGTGAGCTCTCAAATGTTTGCTGACTCGCTCCCTTTTTCCTCCAAGGGCTTCTCTAAGTTGATTCCCACTCAGGAATAAGCTGGATCTATATACCTGCACAGATCAACTCACACAAAAATCTAAGTGCATTCGAGCTACATCAGCATTATTGGTTCACGTTCACTTCCTCCCAACCAAAGTTCCCGAGCCTCTGGCTGACTCCTTTAAGAAAGTCGCCAGTCCAGGTGAAATACCTTTGATCCCTTCTTAAGTTGTTTTAAGACTGTTTGGGTGGTTTTTAAATGAGAAGTCTGTCCCATGGCCAATCAGGACACGCAGACAGAAAAGTCATCGCCACCTTCCTCATGGCCCAGCAGTGGTGAGACCTGTGGCCTCAACACCAGCTTCCTGCTGGGGGCTCAGGCTCGGCAGCCAGGTGCAGACACACACAGGCCCGGCTGCACCGGCCGCTGGGCAGCCTCAGGAAACGGGCTCTTGAGGTCAAGCACCAGTCAAGAAGCTTGAGATGTTCTCGGACGAGGCAAGCAGAGAGAGATGTGGAGGCGCTGTGGGGATGAGCCAGCCTTTGGTGATCAGCAAAGGCTTCTGGGAAGTGGCCAGAGGGAGCACAGGTAAGGTACCGGTCCTTGTAGGCTGAGGGTGCATCTCCGGACAAGACTTTGCAGGTAGATGTGAGTTAACTGAACAAAGCAGGTGGAGAGTGAATTCCCCAAGAAAGAGCAGTGGGAAGAGTGAGAGAATTGGGGAATTTCCCCTTCCATCTGGTTATAGAAGTTGAGCATGTTCATTGTAGAACACATGGATACATTTAAAAAAAGAAATGAAGAAGACTCCCCCAGAGTCCCACCTTGAAAAGGAAACCCCTCGAATCATTCTGGTGTGGGGTTTTCTTCTAGTTTTACATTTTCTCTGTGCACACTTTACATATTAACAATCACTCTATAACCTACCCACCAGTTTACAGCCTGCTGTTTCTCACTTAACATACGACACACGCATTTTTCCCAGGCCACTAAATTCTTCTAATGGGTGCACGTTATTTCATCTTTGGGACGTGGCATGATGTGCTCCACCCTGCTGTTGGACATCTAAGTTGTTTGCGGTTTTTGACTCTTACAAATAATGCCAGTTCAGCAATTCTGTGCATGGGCTTCTAGAGCTCAGCCCTCTCCCCCGCTCTGCATTCAGGTGCTTGTTATTTTCTTTGGCTAGATTCCCAGTTTTGGATTTCTGAGCCAAAGATAGGAAAACAAGGTTTGGGGTGTTCTTTGAAAGGCCAAAGGGTTTGGTTTGATTCATAGGATACTGAGAAGCCATTCTAGAATCTGAGAGGCTCAAATGGTCAATGTGGCTGTAGGGCTGAGAAATCCATATTTCTTGGGAAATAGAAAAAAAAAGGGGAGGGTACATGGTGATATAACTATAGTCCAAATCTCCCCTTCTTCCATTTCTTTATTGTTTCTTACCCTCCATATCTTTCCATTCCATACATACACTTGTTCTTTTTCAGGCATATATTCACTTCATTCATTCATTCATTCATTCATTCATTCATTCATTCATTCATTCAGTGATAACCAACACTATGTTGGCATGTAATGTGGAGCAAAACCAGTGTCTCCCCTGTCCTCAGGGAGCAAATGGCATAGCACAGGACACAGCACCAAGGAAACAAACCAACACAATTCAATGGATTGGGGGTAAGAAAATGCTGTTGCTGGGAGCCAGGGATGGCTGATACGTGAAGAATAGTAGCAGGTAACAAGGTGAAATGGGTGATCTAGATAAAGAAAGGGGCAGTGTCTGGACTGGGATTAGGAGACAGCATGGTAAACTTGGAAAACCTGAACTGTGAGGTAAAAGGTGGGCCATAGAAAAGACGAGCTTTAACCAGACCCTCAACTTATCTATGCTCAGGTGACATGGAATTGGCATCAACTAAAGAGAAGTCTCCAGTGACTTCGAGGACAGATGGTCATTTTTAAAAATGATACCTTTTTTGGGATCTAACTCACATACCATAAAATCCACTCATTTAATGTATACAATTTGATGGTTTTAGTATATTCAAAACTGTGTAACTATTACCACTAATTTTAGAACATCTTCATCAGCTCCCAAAAGGAACTCTGGACACATTAGTAGTCACCTCTTACTCTGCACCCCTCCTCCCCAATTATAGGCAACCACAAATATACTTTCTACTTTATATGGATTTGCCTGTTATGGACATTTCACATACATTAAATCATACAATGTGTGGGGTTTTGTGATTGGTTTCTTTCACTTAGTGTAATGTTTTCAAGTTTCATCTATGTTGTTGCATGAATTAGTACTTCATTCCTTTTTTGGCTAAATAACATTCCATTGTGTGAATAGACCACATTTTGTTTATCAAGTCATCAGTTGATAGACATTCGGGTTGTTTCCTCTCTTGGGTTATCATGAGTAACGCTACTGTGAACACTCGTGTGAACATGTTTTCATTTCTAGTGAGTATATTCCTAGGAGGGAAATTGCTGTGTTATATGGTAACTCTATGTTTAGCATTTTGAGAAACTCCCAAACTGGTTTTCAAAGTGGCGGCACCATTTTACAATGCCACCAACAGTGTATGAGAGTTTCAGGATGTCCACAGCCTCCCTAATTTGTTATTGTTTGCTGTTTTTATTTTAGTCGACCTAGATACAATGAAGTGGAATCTCATGGTGGTTT